TTTTAGGCAGAGCTGAAAAAACTGAGTCAGAAGGGGACATAGTAAAAGCATCTGTTCCCCTGTTGGAATTTAGTGTAAGAACCACCAGAGATTGTAAAACAATCAACCAAGCCAGTGCTGGAGGTAGAGAGATTAGCTCCAAAGAAATACAAACTAGGAGAGCTGACTCAGAAGTAGCAGTTAGGGACGTGCAACTTGGAGATATACAGGTTAAGAAGAGCAGCTCAGAGATTAAGAAGTAGAGAAGCAAAGTAGAAAAGCATTTTTACTTTCAAGAGTAGAAAGAGGGATTGCAGAAGAAGATTTAGAATGTCTTATCCCATTAGAGTTGTTAGCAGACAGCCTTATGGGAAACACCTACAATGCATTCACAGTGCCTTTCCCTTTAAGTTGCTAAAAGATCTCAAGCAGGCAGTCAGTGATTGTGGCCCAGACTCACATTTTGTAATTAGCATGATAAAGGCTCTATTAGGGTCAGAGAGCTGGGCCCCTACAGACTGGAGAGCTTTAGCAAGGATATGTCTTTCCTCTTAAGAATATTTGCAATATCATATGCTGTGGAAGGAAGCAGTTCTGGCAAGAGCACATAGGAATGCTGAGGATGGGATAGATAGAGGAATTCATCAATTGCTAGGCGATGAGAAGTATGTCACAGTTGAGTCCCAACTACAGTTCACTAGACAGACAATAGGACAGATACGTGAAGTTTGCTTAAGTGCCTGGGAAAAGATGATTCCATCAGAAGAGAGAAAGCTGAGTTACACGGCTGTAAGACAAGGGAATGATGAGCCTTATGCTGACTTTGTGTCCGGACTGGAAGATGCTATTTCCAAGTGTGTAAAGCATGTCCAGGCAGTAAGAGCCTTAGTGCATAAGCTATCATGATTTCGCTAATAAGCACTGTAAAAATGCCTTGCGGCCCTATAGGGAAAATGGCACACTGTTAGATTATCTCAGGATATGCAGGAATGTAGAGACAGATGAGTACACAGCCAACCTCATGACAGCTGCATTGGCAAATTATATCAGACCTGGCTTTAGTTGTGGGAAGACAGGTCATCTTCAAAAAGAGTGCAGACAGCACAGGCTGATCAGCCTGGCCGTGAAAAGCAAACTGCGGCCTGAGCAGAGCATGGGCCAAGGCCACCTAATTCGGGTTTAAAAGACCCTGATCTTTGTCCACGCTGTAGAAAGGATCTCATTGGGTAAGTCAATGTCATTCAAAATGCAGCAGTGAAGGGTTGCCATTAACAAAGACTTCCTGGCGGGAAAATAGTGGAAAGTGCTTGATCCAAGTCCCACCTAACAGAGCTCAGAAGGCAAGGCCTCTGCCTAACCCAGCTAGAGAATCTTTGAATGGCAGAAATCGCAGGCATCTCCCAACTTCACGTCTAGAGACCAGACCTAGCCAAACTTGCAGAACCCCAGCCTCTATTTCTTGCTGCAGTTGGTTTGACTAACCAAGAGATGGCTCAGAAGCCCTTGCAGCAGCCTGTTGATTCTAAAAAGCAGAAGCCTCTTTTTGAAAGAGTAATACAGCTTCTATCAGGAAGATTTAACCTAAATAGTCAAGGAATTAAATTTGATACTGGAGTTGATCAAAATTGTGAGGAAAAGACAAAAACTGTGATTAAATCAGAAATTATTGAAAGCAGTAATTGGAGTCTGCTACCAAAAAGAACTATGGGATGTTTATTAAGAAAGTCCAACATAAATTCTCAAGGTGTTGGTGGAATTAGTGATCAGTATTATGAAGAAATTAAGGCAGTGATAAATTCTGATATACTGTGGTTTATAAAGGAAGATCGCTTAATTTAATTTTTACTTCCTTACATTTCTAGAGTAAAAATATATGCCTATCAGGAAAGACTGTTTGAGAATTCTGACCACTCTTTAAATCAAGGGGTCTTCTGGAATACTGTTGTGTGGAAACAACAGCGCCCCCACATGGAATTAGAAATTGAAGGGAAAAGATTTTAAAAGTCTGGATACGGGGTCGTTTCCTTAGGGCATTCAGGAGGGACTAAGACCCTCCCACCAACTTCCTCTAAAGCCAGCTTGGAAGGAATGAGAGAAGTTAACCAAGAGAGACTATTGCAAGATTGTAAAATCATACAGTATAAGAAGCCCCCCCACAAGCCGCCATATTTTCAGCAGGGTCTCGCTTAGTCATCCCCCATAAGGAAATGGCCGGGGAGCTCCAGGAAACGCAGATGAACCCAGCTGACAAGTCAAGGCAACGGGGTAAACCAGAGCAGCTCTGCGTAGGGTGGGCAGACCATGGCGTCCAGTAGTGACTGGCTGTCCAGGGTGAATGTCATGCTGGTGATGGCCTACGGGGGGCCTGGTGTTTGTACTGCTATTTATTTTTGTGAAGAGGCAAATCATGCACTTCGCAATGAAATCTCGGAAGGGACCCAATGTCCCTGTGGGACACAATACCCCCAAATATCTGAAAGAAGAGATGATATTCGACTATCCAGAGTTCAGGATAGCAAGCTCCTTGCAGATGATGATGCCAGCCTGCCATAGCTGGAAACCCAGGGAAATCAAAATTGCTACAACTGTCTGTACAAGATGGAAGCTCTAGACGGCATTCGTGCCTCTGAGATCCCATTTCACACTGAAGGCCTGCATCCCCGTTCCCTAATGGGCAGAAATGTCCATTCCTACCTGCTCATCTTCGGAACGCTACTGCTCCTTTCAAGGGTGTATGTAAGGCCCTGATTGATACCCTGCTGCATGGCTATGAGGCAGTCTGCTGTGGGACAGGGGTCTTTGGCCAGAGTGAGCACCTGCGCTCTCAGGAGGCCCTGACTGAGCTGGCCACTGGGGTCAAAGCACGAAGTGGGAGCTCTCAGTGACACCACCAGTCAGCAGCCAATGACCTTACCCAATCTCCTGGAGTCTCCCCAACTACCTTCCAGGTGACATACCTCCCCTCCAGTCAGAAGAGTAAACGTGCCAAGCACTTCCTCGAATTGAAGAGCTTTAAGGACAACTATAATACCCTGGAGAGTACTCTGATGGAACTGACAGACTCGTTGGAGATGGAGCCAGGACTAGAGTGTGCTTGCCAGGCAATCCACAGGTTAGCTGGCTGGTGGGCCTGCACTCGTTGCCTGATGCTCCCGGTGTGTGCAGATCATGCCTGGAAGCCCTTGGGAGATATTTGTGAACAACAAAACTATTTTCCCCAAAAGCAAAAAAAAAAAAAAAGAATCTAGGATCCTGGTTCTTCTTTTTTGATGGTAGTGAGATCCCAATTTCTGTTTCTGAAATGGCTCAATGAAACCTAACATGATGTCTAATGTGACTAATTCCCAC